CGCCGCCGCTTTGCCACGTGCCGTGCCGCGTCGCGCGCCGTCAGGTCTCACTCCCATCATGCCTTTCGGGACGCTGTTTCTCAAGATGGCGGCCGACAGTGAGGTGCGTTCGCCGGTTGAACTCCCTCCTTTCGGGCTAGTGGGAAAGTGGAGGTGTGGCGCTGGTGCTTTTACCTCTTGGTGCCTCACTTCCTGCCTTCTTTTCTTTTTCCACAGCCGGAGTCCGAAGTGTTCGAGATCACAGATTTCACCACCGCCTCCGAGTGGGAGAGGTACGTACCTCACCTTCCCAGGCTGTCCCTTTTTCCCTCCAATCCCTCTTATCTGCGTTGGTATTGATGCAGTTATGCTTATGGCCCCCTCATACCCGTTGGACTGCCCGTGGCTTTCCTCTCCGCAGTTTTCGTTTGGTTTCTGTTCTGGATTTTTATTTTTGCACCTGGAATTGCCTTGTCGGTGGCTTTAAGAGGGGCAGTTGGTTCCTTGTAGACCCATCACTTGCGAAAGCGTTTGCTGGGAGTGTAACATTGCTGGCAGTGGTTGGTCTTATTGGAGGAGAGGAAAACTTGGTAGGCATTCTTAGAATTGGAGAGTGTACACTTACTTGCCAGGTAGGTGAACCCAGATTGTGTCATTAAAGGCCATTTTCTGCTTAGAGTCCCTGGTCTTTCAGGAATACATATGAACCTTTTCTGCAGATTGATTAAATATAAATTTACTTAATATTTGACACTTGAAAAAGTTTCCGGTCTTCTGGTATTATTTGGTAAGTCAGCTGTGGTAAGGATATTGTATGTGTGGGTGAATGATTAACCACAAAAGATAAGATAAATATGAGAAAATACTTGGAAAGCATGTAAAATAAATACTAATAAAATGCCTGTAACAAAGCTGCATGTAATATTTATTTCTTATTCACATTTCTAAGGTTGCCAAACTTGTCAACAACTTTGGGTAGTGTATAGAATGAAAAATAAAAGTGTAGAGCAGTATTCTCATCATGGGCCATATAGCTTTCCAGGAGTCATGCCACATTTCTAGGGGGCCGTAGTAAGTTTCTGAGAGAGCGATCCAGACTTAACTGCCAAGCATATGATCAGTTTGTCATCATCTTCACATCTCATTGTTGGTGCTAATTTGTCTGCATAGAATTAATTGTTTTTGTTAGCACTATAAATACCTTCCCTTTATATGATATAGTTTAGATTAATAAACGGTTCAGATGGAAAAGTACATTTTTTCCAGCTAATTGCAACTGTGAGAGGAGTCACAGAGATAAATGAGGCTCAAAGGATGCCATGAGCAAAAAAAGGTTGAGAACCTCTGTTATAGAGCAACAAGGAAAATGGCATTAGGGCTGCTTGAATCTTAGGAAGAGGAAGGCTGCTGTTTCATTGGGCCAGCACTGTGACAGAGAAGGTTCCCCTCCTGGGTTCCATCAGGTGCCATTGCTTAATGGATGGGACCCAGAGTATACCAACTTTGTCTGATGTTACAGGGTGTAAATATGAGTTATCTGTATTAAATGCAGAAGTGTTTCAATTAATAGTTTATATTTCAGAACCTATTTCAGCATTTATGTAAGGAAGCTCTGAAATTATTATGCTATATTAAGCAGAAATGGGACATTTAGCTATGACCAGTATTGTGTGGTGTATCAGTATAGGAGTAAACCAAAACTTTTTATATAGTATAATGTAATTTACTTTTATAAAATAATGAAATTAAGTAATGATTATGTGTTTCAGCTACTGTCAGTATTTATTAGAAATAGTTAACTCTTAATTCTGAGTATGTTTTCTTAGAAGTAAATTCCATTGCATTCAGTAGATCATATCTTCTGTTATAATTAATCAAGTTAGCATCTCAGTGCAGTAATATTTTGTGTGGCCTTATTGCTATGCATTTTTTTAGTATATTTATTTTTGTTCCAGACTGTCTAGGTACACAGGAAGATTTGCATATTAATTAAATTTAAAATGGGAAATGAACAGGGCAAGTTGCTAACATACTCAACTGCTATGACACCATACATGCTTTGACTTTAAGCTCTATTAGTTCTCTCCATCAGATCAAGCTGTGATCTTTAACAAATGTCATGAAGTAGATGAAAGTGAATCT